TCATTCAACTATGTTGTGTAATTGTTGAGATATGTGATATTTTTGTGACCACCATTTTTTTTGAATCACACTGTATAATACCGTTTTCGTGGATAATCATTTACACGTAATGATGAATTTACGGCTGTATCAAAATTCGTTTTTGGTATGTCACTGCTGAAGGTCAGGGAATGTCGGTCCTTCAGATGTCGAGGGTTTCTACTCCTCCCTGACTGTGCGTGACTACTACATCCAAAATAGTATTGATTAAAGAAATTATAATACCTGATCGCGTGCGCAAAAGTAATATTATCTATTAGATTTTGTGATCACAAAACTAACATACCGGTATCAATTAATATATCCGTTGTAGATGGAAAACGGGTATAAAAGTGTAGTGGGATTAAACACGATAAAGGTGTTGAATATGGTACAGTATCTTATAACATAGATCGAGATATTTGCTTGATTATAGGTTAACCAAATTATATAGGACAGAGAAACAATACCCGATCATGCGAGAGAAGAAATAGAACGGAATATTAATTTGTTAAAAGAGAAGCTTAATGTAGGTGTTAAATCATTCTTTAATTATTCTTATATACTCTGTAATTTATTAAATGTGTTTGTTTCTTTCTTAGCATCCTATGACGAATACAGATGTATCTTTATATAATGTTCTGAAGCAAAAGGTGCATAATATTAACCCCTCAGAACTTACATGGCGAGACCCAATAGCAAGTATGGTTCTTAGTGATGATCGGAGATAGTAAAAAACTTGGAACCAAGACAGAAGAGTGTTTTTCTAAAACCGTGTGAAAACATGAAATGTGTTCTTCCTGAATCGGTTGTATATAAGTGTAACGATTTTGTGAATAATTTTAATGAATTGAACATTTCAAGATCTATGAGAAACATTTTTCATGATAAGAATTGGAAAGAAGACGAATCTGAGTTATTAAAAATAACAAAATGTATTCTAGATATACTGTAAGTTATTAGTGAAAAATATATCATCTAGGTCCATATAATAACGCATTTATAATATATTTTTCATTAGTGCTGAGATATGGAAGAATCCTGCGTTTACGACCAGTACATCCCGCAATCAGCAGAGTGAAGGAACGTATATCACGGATGTTATAATTCCTTTACTTCGAGCGAGTTTAGGTGATCTCCCAAATGGTGGTATCTGCTTGAGCACATCAGAACGGCAAAGTTTAGCAAGTAAAGCTTGAAGAAATCTAGTAACCAATGAAAATCAGATGGGAAAGAAGCCTGACATTATGGGACTATCGATTCAAGATGAAAAAATTATAGAGTTGGTATGGTGCAAGTCACCTAGTCCCGCAACTTGCTGCGCCTCGTGGCCAATTTTGGGAAAAATCATCAAAACTCAGAAATTGTAAGTTATGCTCAAAAATGCAATAAAATTTTATATCATGTGACCTTTAATGGTGATACAAATTAAAAAAAATATTTATATTAATAATATATAAATAATGTTATAACATTGCTAAAAAAAATTTCCTTCTTCATGTGAAGAAGCCAATGCTCCTGCGGAGAGCATTCTTTGAGAGCTTTGCCCTCAAAGAATTTTTGGACACCATACATTTTTCATATTAAAAAGATTAATTGTCATCTCTCATCTTTCCTTTTTTCTGATATAACTAGTGTATTATTGTTACATGCTTATACTATCTATCTAATTATCTAATAAATAATATGTACATATCTTTATTCACATTGTAAAAATCAAATCACAGATACCATTTGGCACTACTTGCTCAACCATTGCAATTTTTTGGTCTATTTATATAATTTATTAGACTACTCAATCAATGCACTATTTGGCCACAAAATAGTCTATTTTATGAAAAATTACATCATTGTGCAAAAGGATGCTTGGATAATTTGCATCCAACTATTCAAAAGAATAATTCATCTTTTAGTGACTGCCAAATTTAGAAATGATTATCATATGCTAGTCTAAATTTAGTAACGATATTAGCGGCCAATTTCATCGTGAACATTGTAAACTTGTGCAACTTTGAGCCCTTCTAACTGTGCAATACTGTGACATATCAACAAAATGAAATCGTAACTTTGTAGAGAAAGGTCTTAGCTTCAAAATTACGGCTTATTTTTTTG